AGGCATTTGCGGGAATGCTTTGTGCAGAGTGGTTTGACAAGCTGCTCCAGGAAGGCAGCAGTCACACGGGTGGTGCAAAAGTGCATAGGATAGAGCAGGTGACTGCAGGAGATGGGAGCTGCAGCTCCCCAGTTTGGGTTCATCCCTGGTCTTGCCTATACTCTGCTGTGCAAATGTTTCTAAAGTCCAAGAGCAGGGCTCTTCTGAGGTCCAATGTGGATCCTCAGTACCAGGCTACAAGATGAGGCTTTTGCTCAGGGACTGAACTACAGCTTCCCAAGTTTTTGAGCAGGAGGCTGTTGTGATCCAAGATTAGCAATCTGAGCACTGGTCCTAAAGGACCTTGGGCAAGTCATGTATCCTCTCTGGGCCTCAGTTTCCTCCCTTCAAAACAAGAGCATGGGACCAGATAAGTGTTTGAAGGCCCCTCCCACCCCTGTGTACTTTTACTCTAGGACACAGTTACAACCCTGATGAGAGGCTTTATTGCTAAAAAGTCAGTGAGGGTTTATTATGTAGCCCTCAAACACCAGCTCCTTATACCATTCCAGCAACTGCTGTGAAAGACCCTGGGTGGGGAGGCTGAAGCCAGGTGGGATGTGACAGGTCTCAGATGGCTCTCAGACCACCCGCTGTTGGCCCCTTTAGTTCCAGACCCTAGCCCATAAGACCTGGGGCCTGGGTCTTGCCTCTTCCCATAGCATGAGACACCTTAGGAGCCCAGGGGAGGGAAGCCCAGTGGCGTGTCTTCCTTTAACTTAGGCAAGGCCCAAGCCCTTTTCCTCTGCCTGGCTCCCCCAGTCCCCAAATACTATCCCCAAGTCCCAAACAGCAGAATTCCTGGATTTTCCCCTTCCCAGCCCAGAGTTGCTTATGGCTGGAATGTGGGACCAACTCTTCTACCAGAAGGTCCAGGGCGGTTGCAGCAGCTCAAAGGTGGGGATGCTGGTGACATTGACTGGTATGGAAATGATGGCCCATGGCAGCCCATGCTGTTCCAGGGAGCGGCGGATCATGTAGCTGGGAGAGCATGAAGAGAGGTGGTGATGGTCACTTTCCTGACACCCCATCCTGCCCCAGTGTCCCCATCACTCTGGGAGTTCCAGAGCCTGAGGACTTTTTTGGCCCTCCAACCAGGGCATCCCAAGATGAGGCTTGTGGGTAGGGACTGGTGATTGCCCTTGACCTCCCCGAGTCATGGCACCCAGCTTGGTGCTGATACAGCCAGAGACAAAGAGCCCTCACCCATCTCGGCCAAGCAGGAAGAGGGCGGGGATGTCAGCTGTGCGCTGGGTACTGTCTTGGATCATCTCCACGTAGAAGCTGTCATTGTCAACTGCGTTGTCAGAGATGATCACTGCCCGCCCACCATGCTCCTGCACCACCCGGGTCTTGGAGAGGAAGGAGCAGCCCCTGGAAGAGGTGGTGATGAGACCAAAGGAAAGGCAGGGTCCTAGCTATCCGTTCCCCAGACCACCACCCTGGGAAGATGAAAGGAGGACCTTGGAGGCTTTTTTATAAAGGCTCACAAGTAAATGGCCAAAGGCTTGGATAATCTTAAGATGTTTCTTAAAGACCCTTAAAAAGATGAATTATTTAAAAGCAGCTATTTCAAAGCATCACCACCAACACTGATCTCAGGATCTACCCTATGCCTGCCTTCCCCTTGTGCCCATGCCTGTCCGCTCCTTACCCCCTCTCCACCAGAGCGATCTGGTCCTGGATGAAGAAACCGTTGCTGAGTTCCCCGCAGGCCTC